TCGGCTGGTTTGTGCTGCTCCGCGTGCCTCACGCTGCTGATGTCATGCCCGAGCGCGCTGGTGATGCAGTCCCTGGTGTTACGTCACAGCAGGTCACCCACTGCATCATCCCGGGAGATTCACCGAGCTTCTTGGCACAGCGCTGTAGGGACATGGGGTGTCTCCTCCCAGGGGACATCTCCCTGCCTAGGCACCACTATGGGGACACACCTCACCGGGAGAAGCCCTGCCAGCCAAGCTGGGGCTTCCCACAGAGGCCACCCGCCTCCCAGTAGCACCCGACTATGTCACCCAGTGCTGTCCCGGGCAGGGAGAGACCTCTAGTGCTCCTTCAGCAGATGACAAGCCACCAGCCCCATCCTCCTCCAGCAAGGGAGATTTTTACGGGTGCTGCTCACCCAACCACCACCCGTGCCCAGTGCAGCCTCTTCACCAGCGACCTGCAGCAGGGCTTGATCCAGCATTACCACTTGACAAGGTCTTCTCCAACGCATGGCCACGGACAGAGACCAGCCTCACATCAGCACTGGGCTTTCCTCATGGGGCCCCACCACCCTCTTGGGAGCCACCAAGCAGGGTCAAAGCCTTTGCTCTCCACCCTGGGCAAGCTGAGCCCGCACCCAGTGACCCCAAGGGAGATATGCCCAGGCACAAGCACCTTTGCCAGGTTAAGGAGACAGTCTCTGCACCCGTGGCAGCACCATACCTGAGAGCTCAGGACCACAGCTGAAGTACCTCCAGCCCCTATGAGCCTCCCTCCAGTTGCTCCCTCTGGGGCAGGGAGCAGAGGTATCACTTCTGCCTTTCTTAAGAAGGCACCAAGGTGTAACAGAGTGAGGCCACAGCCCTCCCCAGGGCATCAGGGCAGCCTTCTTGCCAAGGGCAGGAATGGCAGGAAGGGGAAAGGTCCCCCGAGAGGCTGTGCCTGGACTTCAAATATCCAGAAAGCAAACAGGAGCGGACCCGGCTGGGCTGTGCCCAGCCTTGAACCCTGTTGCCTCCTCCTGCCACTCCCCAAAACGCAGCCTCTAATCTTGCCTTTGCGGCGTGGGCGAGCGATAGCAGGCTGGGAGCGAGGGGAGGGCAAACCTGCTCCCCTGCAGCAGCAATCCCAGAAGGGCTCCCAAGCCATGCTGAGGGCACACAACCTCGGGAGGGCCAAAGCAGCAGTGCTGGCACAGCACTGGGCAAACCTGGGGTAGATAAGCTATGCCTGCACCACCCTGCAGCTCACCAAGGATGGGGTCATGTAGGTGGCAAGAGCCCCTTTCCAGCTCAGCCTTTGAAGCCAGCACACAGCTCCTAGCTTAGCCTGGGCAGGGAAAGGGGCAAATGGCCCTTTCCACCTAAAACCCATCTACCCCATGAAATGGAAGGCCACTCATCAGGGCCTAGGTACACAACATCCATGAAGTGCCATCATTCTCACCCCAGCAGGTGCTCTACAGCCTCTCTCTTTAAAAAAAAAAGAATAACCACAAGCAACTTTTCCCTCATTTTTTTATTATTAATCATGTAATAAACACAGCAAGTTTCTCAGCTGTTACTGTGATTCTCATCCCCGCGTGCAATCCAACCACCACCAGTGTGAATCTGGACCCTCCCAGTGCTGAAGGTGCAGTGCTGGGCAGACTGGGAGACCAACGCGGACAGGAATCCAAGAGCAGGCATAAACCCACATCTGTTTTCCACAGAAGGTCAATATTTTAATCACCAAAATCAGCATCGACCTTCCCAAAGAATTAAGCTGCTTACAAGTGGGGTATTAAGAGACAACCCACTTTGTCCTTCCCTTCCAGCACCAGATGAGAAGGGTTTTCCTCTCACCGTCCCTTGCACCCCAGCAGACAGACATGCCTCACCCAGAACTCCACTGGGGTTTCAGGAGAAGAAGCTCCCATCACCTCCAGCATCCTGAAACAAGAAGCAGAGGAAGGGTCTTGGTGCGTCCAGCCAGCTCCCACCTGACATGGTGTGACATCCACAACCAGAGATGGGTCTCTTCCACCCAAAGCACAGAGGTCTTGACGGCAGATGCAGGAGGCACCGATGCAGCCAACACAAGCACAAGGGTTCTTCTGGTCCAGGAACAAATCAGAGGCAGACAGATGCCTGCCCTTCCCTTCCCAGCTTGGCATCAGGCCCTTGCTACACATCAGTTAAGATGCAGCTGTCAATGTTTTTCTTCCCCTCTGCTCATGAGGAGCAAGGCAGAGAAACTCAGGAGACCTCCAACATGAGACTTACACGGATGCCTCAGCGCAAGAGCACACCATACAGCTACATGGACTTTAAGTCAACTGGCTCAAACTGAGGTCAACTGCTGTGAGCAGCTGAGGATCTGCTGTTTCAGCTCTGACAAGTGCCCATCCGTGCCCAGGGTAAGGAGGGACTGCATTGCTGCACAGCTCACTTCTGGCTTTGAAGGGGTCCCCGCTCTTCATTCACTGTACAAGAGGGGCCCTCCATGTCCTGCTTGTTTTCCCAAGCAGTTTTCTTACCTCTTTTCAGTCTCTTGGAGGAGGGATTTTGCAGCTTTGGGGTCATTCTTCATAAAGACTTGATATGGAGAGGCAGACTCCACGTAACCAATGACACCAGCAACCGTCATGGGAATTTTGTCAAAGATATCAGTGATTCTAGAAGGGAGACAGGGAAGAAAGGAGCTTTGGCACATGAAGTCTCAAAGGCAGTGGAACAAGGACAACAACAGATTGAGGTGGTGGTGAATAAAATACCTGATGCTAACAAAGTTCTAAGAGAGGGAAATATCCAATTATGCCATTCGGTGGGTCAAGAGCTCTAACTGATGCACTGCTGGAAAAGCAGTGGTGGTCCCAGGGACCATCTGACCTAGCCTGTGACTTCAACAGTCCCTTGAATACAGGCCTGCCTGCAGAGCCCGTTCAGCTCCAGCAGCCAGGACGCCAACACCTCTGCAACACCACTGCCAGCGCACCCTGTTTGCCCATGGAGTCAGCCCCTGTCCTGTGCCTTGGTGGGGAGGCAGGCACTGGCTCCCTGGAAGGCTGGGGCAGGTTCTTTCTTTCATTCCATTTTTCCCCTTCATCCATTAAGTGATCTGCCCAGAAGCCTCAAATTATCATAAACCACCTACTTCAAAAAAAAATCTAAGGCAATTCTGCCTTAAGCAGGAAGGGTCCTTGCAGCCCTTAGACCACGCTTGCTGGCCCAACACAGAGCCGCACGAAATCCAGCGGGACTGGAAATACAGCCACACAGCTCTGCCACGATACAAAGGCGTTTGCTGAAACCTGGCAGCTACCCGCACTGGCAAACCCAGCTCCCTCGTGTCCTCGCAGGGCTGGTGGCAGGGCAGCCCCGTGCAGGAGCAGGGACACCACTGCTATCCACTCCTGATGCTGCGCCGAGGAGTTTCTGCTCACCTCTTCTTGTCTGGAAATGGCAAGGCCTCAAAGATCTCTTTGTAGTCTTCCAAGACATGTTTTATTCTATTATGCGCGTATTTTAAAACCAGGTCCCAGGACTGTAAAGACAGCAGGTTAAAAACAAACACAAAAGCACTTGAAGCTCTCAGTTTCCACTTAACTCAGGCTTGCTTGGCCCTAGGTCTGATACATTCATACATGTGCCCTTTTTATTTTTGAAGTAGTCTTTGCATTAAAAGTCACCAAAATCTCACTCAGTGTCAAGAATTCAAGGATCCTATTTTATTATAGAGATAAGCGTCCTATCCTCCTCTCTACAATGCTGTTACTAAAAGGAGGCTTTGCACTATGCGTTGTTAAAACACTCTTTGTCAAGAAACATCACCAAGAAAACCTCTTTCCAAACAGTTTCTACTTTCTATTCCTTTCACTGTGATCAGGGCAACAGGAGAAGTCTCTGTGATGATACCAGCCCCCCAGATCTGCTCCGCAGCCCTCCTCTCCACACCAGTCTGCTCGTTTGCTGTTGGTCCTAATGTCCCTCTTCTCCTCATCTGGCCAGCCCCAGCACTGCACAGGAGCCACCAAACCCCATTCTCAATGTTGTCCATGCATTTAACCATGCCTCTGCCCCATGCTCCAATGCACAACCTCTAGTTGTACCCTCAAGCCCATTGCCTTCCTCCCCGCACCGAAGTACTACACGCTTCCCCCTGCCCTGATGAAACCAGGTCTAGGTTTCATCACCTCACCTCTCTGAAGACTTTGGTCAGCTTTTCGGAGCAGTTCCCGTAGCGCACACTCATGTCCACGGTGTAGGTGCTGATGGCCACACAACCACCCGGCTTAACCACCCGGTTTGCTTCTCTCATGAACTTCTCGGTATCAAACCAGTGTGCAGCTGTAAATGAAGCCAGGAGGTCCACCGAGGCATCCTCGAACGGCAGCTCTTCTGCAGGGCACACGCTGGAGTGGGAGAAGGAAAAAAGGTGGCGTGTAATATGGGAATCAGGACGTGAAGCCAGTGGGCATTTTTTGGAGCCAAGGATGACCGTTTGGGGATGCAAGACCATGGCTACCGTAAGCCTTAGATAATGCCCGTTCCCACCAGGAATCCCATCAAATGGGATTTACTTTCATGCCAGCTGTCCCTTACAGTAATTGTACTCACAAAACACCACCTCCACGCGAGGACCCAAATTTTGCCTTTGGCTGAGCTGGCTCCCTCAACACTCACAGGTAGGAGACGTTGGGTGGGGAGGGGGCATCCTTGGCCTCCTGGATCTGCGCTTCGCTGATGTCCGTTCCCACCACCTTCTTGAAGTGCTCTGCGAGGAAGCGGGTGCCTTGTCCAGACCCACAGCCAACATCCACCGCCAGCTCAGCAGGGTTTGCCCTCTGTGGGGAAGAGGAGATGCGTCTGAGCCGATGGCCACCCGGTCTCTGCTGCTTCTACCCCATTCCCTCCCCCAGCGTCCACAGAGAAACAGCCTCGGCACGGCACAACCCCGGGAAAGGTTCCTGTGTCCCCAGAGCCCTGTTCATTGATTCCTCCCTGCGGCACCACCCAACGTGACACTCCCAGCAGAACGAATAATACTGCCTACTTTTTTTCCTACAGCCTGGCTATATCCCACTCACCTTTTCCTGCAGGTAGGTGAGGATGGTTTCCTGCAGCTCTTTGCCTGGGGAAAACCTGTATTTCTGGTAGACGGCTGCGTGCCCTCTCCCCTCGAACATCTGGGTCGCCATGCTTGGGTGACCTGGCACCTGGGAGGAGGCAGCAAGCCGAGTTCAATCCTGTGGTGACAAACTCCTCGTGCCTCCTCAGCCTGTGACCAAAGGCACCAAAGTCTGTAGGTCCTGGCAGGAGCCTGGGCAGGACTTTGCCCATGAGACTCCAGCAGGCGAGAGTGATCCTGCTCTCCAAGCATCCCTCCCACAGGCACCAGCTAATCGCAGAAGCAAACCAGCAGCGTCTGACAAGGAAAAGCTTTCTAGGTTTTCAAACCCTTCTTCTCCTTACTCCTTTGCTTTCCCACCCCACCTGGGTGCCTTCTGAAAAATCACCACTACAGCTGGAATACCTGATTTTTGGGGTGACTGAGCAGAGCATTAGAATAGCTAACAGAAAAGTGGGCTTTTTTAAAATAAAAATTAAAAATCCATGTTTTAGTATTAGCAGCACAATTGCACCAACTCCACCCTGCGCTTTCCGAACCACCCGACGTTTTCTTCTCCCTTCCCGCCCCAGCCTTCTGAAAAATCACCACTACAGCTGGAATACCTGATTTTTGGGGTGACTGAGCAGAGCATTAGAATAGCTAACAGAAAAGTGGGCTTTTTTAAAATAAAAATTAAAAATCCATGTTTTAGTATTAGCAGCACAATTGCACCAACTCCACCCTGCGCTTTCCGAACCACCCGACGTTTTCTTCTCCCTTCCCGCCCCAGAAAGGCTCAAAGTCCCTTCTAGACCCAGCGCCCCGTCAGACCCGTCACCCAGCACCGCACGCGGAGGCGAGCCC